TTTGTGGGGCTAGATTTCCAGGTTTCAGGAGCATACCTTATCAGTTATGCTTTAATTAGATTATGGATTATTGCTTTGATTGACCTCTGAAGAAATCTGTCCAACTACAGAGGGACTGTCTTGCTTTTCTGCTTATATTCCCAGGGCCTGGGACATAATAGACAATAAAATTTTTATTTATTCATTCATTTAGTACAATATAATTGTCTTTGTGTAATCATAGGCACTATTTTCCAAGTTGTTTTCTTAACTGGAACCTTTGCTAGGTCTCACAGCTTTCATTCCATTTTCATCTTAACAATTAAATTAATGTTATGAAATTTTTTTTAAGAGATGTGTTTTATGTGCCAGACATCATGCTAAGTGCTTTGCAAATATTATGTCATTTGATTCTCACAACAACGCTTTGAGGTAGGTGATATTATTATCTCCATTTCATAGTTGAGGAAACTGAGGCAAACAAAAGTGAAGTCACCTTGCCAAGCATCACATAGCTATTAAGTGTCTGAGATCTAATTTGAACTCAGGTCTTCTGGACTCTACACCCAACATTCTATCCAGTGAACTCATCTAGCTGCCACTGTGTATAAAATATCAAAAAGATCCAGAAGATCTCAGTTGTGCTGGGAAGTTACTTTTGTGGAAGATTTATGGAGAGATGTGGAGAAAAAATAGTTAAGGATGAGAAAATGTGAATGGGTTGGAATCTGCATTGATGGAAAAGGTAGCCACAAGTATAAAAGAATAAAGTTAGCTTTTTTTTTAAATAACAATTTGCCTAAAAATAAAAACAACAACAACAACTCAACTATCCTGAAAGCAGAAAGCTGCCAATCAATGCCATATTTTATCCTTATATGTAGTATTATTCATAAACGTCTCCTCAGTTTATATTATTGTTTGAACCTGATTTCCTTTCTAGAAGTCATAATCCTCTTGATAACACACAGTTAAGCTTCTAGGGTGCAATATAAGATTTTATAGAACATTCAGAGAGTAAATGGTTCAGGACAAATTCCAAAAAGAATCAGGTACTAGCCTTGAAAAAATTTGAATTGTAAATCAACTCACTCTGGTCCTCTCCAATTTGCAGTCATATAAAGAATGTAACACCCAGTTCAGTTTTGAGAAGGCTTGGAGAGAGTGTGGATAGCAAGGTAAGGAACATTCATAGGGTGTCAGAATGAGGTATTTCTCTTTCCTTTAAATGGCTAACTCTCATGTCTAGACAGAGGTGAGGCTTGCAGCATTATGAATAGGCCCCCAACAGGTGTGTATCTGTGATTACTGCCTTTTGATGACTGGACTTTCATTTCTGCTCATTTTTAAAATAATTTTTTACATATATGTATAAAAATGTGGGTGTATAAATGCAAAACCTTATGTATAGCTCCTCCCTACCCCACCCCAGAGGGTGATCTCTTATAATAAAATATGGAGAAAGGAAAAAAATGAATTCCACAAAACAGAATTTAAAAGTTTGTTTTTATACGTGATATTCCACCCCTATGCCCCAGCTTTTTATCTTGAAGCTCACGCCATATCTGGAATTCACATTGGAAGCACCCACCCACCCTGTAACTTCTGCCTCTGATTGGATGAGTCTTCCCAGAAAAGGAGGTATTTAAGGAGGCTGCCCAGGCCATCCCTGTCTCATTCCTTTCCTAGTTTGCACTCTGGAATTTCACTACAAATCTTCCACCTTTCTGTCCTCCTTCTTTCATCTTCCTTTTATATGTTGTCTTCTTCTATTAGAATGTAAGCTCCTCGAGGACAGAGAGTCTTCCTTTCTACTTGTATTTGTATTTCCAGCTCTTAGCACAGTGACTGGCACATAATAAGCACCTAATAAATGCTTCTTAACTTGAATTGACATGGTTCCCCCATCTTGGCAAAGAAGCGAGGTAGATGTCTTCCCATATTTCTTTTTTGGGGCCAAGTTTGGTTTATATTTTTGCAACACGTAGTTTTGATTATTTTGTTGTTGTTCTTCCATTTACATTGTCTCAGTCTGTGTTTACTGTTTTCTTGGTTCTGCTTACTTCACTTGCATCAGTTCATAAGTTTTATCAAGCTAGGCTGTATTCATCATGTTTATAATATAACAGAGTAATATTCCATTTCATTCATATTTCACAATTTGTTTAGCCATTCCCCAACCTGTGGGCATTTAGATGACTTTCACATTTCTCTGACTATTGAAATTTGGAGGTTTTTTCATCATTGATTTTGGTGTACCAGAAGTTAGCACTATCTGAAGCGAACCATTAAAAAGTCATGGCAATTCCCTAATTGATAAATGGTCAAAGGATATGAGCAGGCCATTTTCAGAGGAAGAAATTAAAGCTATCTATAGGCATATGAGAAACTGCTCTAAATCACTATGAATTAGAGAAATGCAAATCAAAACAACTCTGAGGTACCACATCACACCTATCAGATTGGCTAATGTGACAAAACAGGAAAATGATAAATGTTGGAGAAGATGTGGGGAAATTGGAACACTAATGCATTGTTGGTGGAGTTGTGAACTGATCCAATCATTCTAGAGAGCAATTTGGAGCTATGCCTAAAGGGCTGTAAAATTGTGCTTACCCTTTGACCCAGCAATACCACTTCGAGGTCTGTATCCCAAAGAGATCATAAAAACAGGAGAAGGACCCACATGTACAAAAATATTTATAGCAGCTCCTTTTGTGGTGTTGAAGAATTGGAAATTGAGGGGATGCCCATCAATTGGGGAATGGCTGAATAAGTTGTGGTATGTGAATGTAATGGAATACTATTGTGCTATAAGAAATGATGAGCAGGCAGACTTCAGAAAAACCTGGAAAGTCTTATATGAATTGATGCTGAGTGAAATGAACAGAACCAGGAGAACATAGACAGTGACAGCCACATTGTTTGATGACTGACTTTGATAGACTTGGCTCTTCTCAGCAATGCAAGGATCTAAGACAACTCCAAAAGACTCATGATGAAAAATGCTATCCACATCCAGAGAAAGAACTATGGAGTCTGAATGCAGATGGAAGCATACTATTTGCTCTCCTTTTCTTTTGTTGTTTTGTTTTATTGCTTCATTCTTGTGGTTCCTCCCGTC